GTCACATGATTGCTACTGGCGAATCACAGTCCTCTTAGGGCTGTTAAAACACAGTTTGACATTTGTTCAGTGCTCTGTCATGGTTTCCATTCTGGTAATCCAAGAATTTGCTTATTCCAGCAGTTCCCAAATTGTGTGCCGCGGAATGTTTCCCCAGAGCTTAATCATCAAACATTACTGCTCAACCGGTCAAGTGCCGCGGTCCTTTAAGACCGTGACTGGGCCCCTGTAATGTCGGCCTGCTGGGAGGAAGTGACAGCCTGTCACTTCCTCCCAGCATCATGCGGAGAGATGGCGCAGGAGGGAGAGGAGGCAGCCACAGTGTGATGGGAGAGGAGAATGAAGAGCTCCAGACCTCTTCACTCCCACTCAGCAGAACCAGGACTCCAAGCCACCCTCCTGGACACACAAAGTAAGCTAACAGTAGGGTGACTGGAGATATAAAAAAAAAATAACTTGTGTGAGTGTATGTATGATTGTGTGTGTATATAATTTACATTTTCCTTTTGAAATCGGACTAATATTTTGGCTTACAAAAGAAACATTCACTCTGTCTGTAAGTCTGTCTAAAACACATGACATTGCGATTAAATAATCTTCCAGTGCCCTTTCCGAGGTTAGGTTCTGGTTCCTTCCCTGAGCCGGAATGCTATGTGCCCTCATGGAGAGCAAAAAATGGGTCGCAAGAGTATTCTGAGAACGGACAGCAGCTAAAATAGCCTGCCCTTCGGTGGGTCCCCGCTCAGAACTCAAGCTGGTTTTAGCTCATCTTGTGCCATTACAGAGAGAACATATCTGAAGCATATCAGACTGGTCCCACCCATACGGGCAGTCCAGATCCAAAATGCCAGCAAGTTCTCTCTGCACGAGAGATACAGCAACCCCAGACGATGTTAGGCATAATCAGTGAGGCATAGCTGATATCTCCCTAGGCACCGTGAGCAATGTGCCCTCATGACAGGTGCCAAATATGCACAGAATTGACGTTAGCCAGTCCAAAACTCTTATTCCAGCATGTTGACACACTAATGATGCTGCTGGAGGTAGAGTTAAATTTCCAGCAGAAGAGGGGTTAAACTGTTTGTGAACCTATACAGAAATGCTTTACATACAGACTCCAGGCACTATGACAAATTCAAATCAATGAAGTGGTCATGATATTTGGAGTATCCCTTTACGTTTTGCCTAATTTTTCCAATACCTACTCCCTCTACCCTTTCTAGCCATTATCTCATAATCTTTCCCTTTTCCATCCATGGTACTCCCCTTAGAGAAAAAATTAATAAATTATTTAACACTGCAATTTGTATGAACAATGTAACAGAATTAAATAAAAAAGTTTTATATATATATATATATATATATATATATATATATATGGAGTGCAGAATTATTAGGCAAATGAGCATTTTGACCACATCATCCTCTTTATGCATGTTGTCTTACTCCAAGCTGTATAGGCTCGAAAGCCTACTACCAATTAAGCATATTAGGTGATGTGCATTTCTGTAATGAGAAGGGGTGTGGTCTAATGACATCAACACCCTATATCAGGTGTGCATAATTATTAGGCAACTTCCTTTCCTTTGGCAAAATGGGTCAAAACAAGGACTTGACAGGCTCAGAAAAGTCAAAAATAGTGAGATATCTTGCAGAGGGATGCAGCACTCTTAAAATTGCAAAGCTTCTGAAGCGTGATCATCGAACAATCAAGCGTTTCATTCAAAATAGTCAACAGGGTCGCAAGAAGCGTGTGGAAAAACCAAGGCGCAAAATAACTGCCCATGAACTGAGAAAAGTCAAGCGTGCAGCTGCCACGATGCCACTTGCCACCAGTTTGGCCATATTTCAGAGCTGCAACATCACTGGAGTGCCCAAAAGCACAAGGTGTGCAATACTCAGAGACATGGCCAAGGTAAGAAAGGCTGAAAGACGACCACCACTGAACAAGACACACAAGCTGAAACGTCAAGACTGGGCCAAGAAATATCTCAAGACTGATTTTTCTAAGGTTTTATGGACTGATGAAATGAGAGTGAGTCTTGATGGGCCAGATGGATGGGCCCGTGGCTGGATTGGTAAAGGGCAGAGAGCTCCAGTCCGACTCAGACGCCAGCAAGGTGGAGGTGGAGTACTGGTTTGGGCTGGTATCATCAAAGATGAGCTTGTGGGGCCTTTTCGGGTTGAGGATGGAGTCAAGCTCAACTCCCAGTCCTACTGCCAGTTCCTGGAAGACACCTTCTTCAAGCAGTGGTACAGGAAGAAGTCTGCATCCTTCAAGAAAAACATGATTTTCATGCAGGACAATGCTCCATCACACGCGTCCAAGTACTCCACAGCGTGGCTGGCAAGAAAGGGTATAAAAGAAGAAAATCTAATGACATGGCCTCCTTGTTCACCTGATCTGAACCCCATTGAGAACCTGTGGTCCATCATCAAATGTGAGATTTACAAGGAGGGAAAACAGTACACCTCTCTGAACAGTGTCTGGGAGGCTGTGGTTGCTGCTGCACGCAATGTTGATGGTGAACAGATCAAAACACTGACAGAATCCATGGATGTCAGGCTTTTGAGTGTCCTTGCAAAGAAAGGTGGCTATATTGGTCACTGATTTGTTTTTGGTTTGTTTTTGAATGTCAGAAATGTATATTTGTGAATGTTGAGATGTTATATTGGTTTCACTGGTAATAAATAATTGAAATGGGTATATATTTGTTTTTTGTTAAGTTGTCTAATTATGCACAGTAATAGTCACCTGCACACACAGATATCCCCCTAACATAGCTCAAACTAAAAACAAACTAAAAACTACTTCCAAAAATATTCAGCTTTGATATTGAGTTTTTTGGGTTCATTGAGAACATGGTTGTTCAATAATAAAATTAATCCTCAAAAATACAACTTGCCTAATAATTCTGCACTCTGTATGTGTGTGTATATGTATATGTGTGTGTGTGTGTGTGTATATATGTGTGTGTGTGTGTATGTGTGTATATATATTAAAATGGATATATGAGAAAAGGTATCACAAAATATATAGCAAAGTCAATTGTGGCCCTAAGAGAACATAAAAAGGATGTGTTAAAATGACACAAAGGCTTTGTACATGAAATCAACTTATCCAAGTAGTAATCATCAATGTGGGGTAAGCTACCATAAAAGTTTCTCAATACTATGTTGACTGACTGACAGGTGCTGTGTGTGGGTGGCAGTGAGTGTGAGGGTGTGTTAGAGGTGATGTGTGTTTGAAAGGGGCAGGGTGTGTGAAAGGGGCAGGATGTGTTAGGGGTGCATTGTCTGGGTGTTTGTGAGGGGTGCTGTGTGTGTGTGTGTGTGTGTGTGTGTTCAGTGTGTGTGAGGGGTGCATTGTGTGTATTTGTGAAGGGTGCAGTATTTGTGTGGTAGGGGTGCATAGGGTCTGTGCTGTGTGTAGCTAGGTGAGATGTGAAAATCCATCTTAATGTCTCCCTCTCCCTTCTTCTTACATTTTACCAGAGAGGGGGACATAATGCTGCAAGCTCTGGTGGTCCAGTGGTGGCATGTTCACTTTAGCATGCAGCTCTTCCAACTGCAGGCTGACTCTCTGATACAGCAAAGCACTGTATTGGAGCGTTGCCATGGATTTGGATGGCAACACTCCAACCAGCCTGCTCACGGGAGGAACACAGAGCCTCTCAAGCCTGTCAGTGGGCCAGTGAGAGATCTTTGATCTCCTCACCAGCCCAAGAGAGTTTACAGCACTACTGTCTCTGCATGGGACAGCAGGGGAGATGAAATGATCTCCCCTGTCGGCCTTGGTGCACTGGACGTTTTCTGGAGAACCCACCACTGCCCACCTGAAATTCCAAACTGCCCACTAGTGGGCGGTAGGGACCAGATTGACTACCTATGCTCTAGATAGTGAAGAAAGAAGATGTACGTATATCTTGACATCAGGTCCGGCGCTGCCTTGGGGTGCACCAGCGGTGTAGGATTCGGGTGATCCACAGGAGGAGAGCACAGCACAGCGCTCCCCTCCTGCCAGTCACTCATGTGTAGAATCCATATACAGGTAGTGGAACTGTACTCAACCCTTCGCCCTGGAATCCTAGGGTGCTCCTGGATCAGTCCCAGTACCAAAGAGACCAAATATAGAGTATAATTGTAGAAAGTAATCCAGGCACTCCAAAATGTTCCAAAAGATAGGCAATTTTATTGGACCAAAGAACCAAAATACAATGTTTCAACCCCTTAGGGCTTTGTCAAGAACCAAAATACAACAAAGGCCCTAAGGGGTCGAAACGTTGTATTTTGGTTCTTGGGTCCAATAAAATTGCCTATCTTTTGGAACATTTTGGAGTGCCTAGATCACGTTCTACAATTATACTCCTGTGTAGCATGGACTGGAGGAGAGGAACTTGTTTCTCTTTTCCTGGTATGGCAGGAAGTGCTCACTAAGTGTGCCAAACGGCTTCCCGTCACACCGAGAAGAGGGAACAGAAACATCTCGCCCGTGCACGGCAAAATACAAATAACCAAATCATATGAGGAAACATACAAGAACTCATAATAATGTATTAACATATTGATAAAGGGGTGGGGAAGACAATAACTAACAAGAAATATTCCCCCTGTCTGCAGAATTCATAATATACAAATCTACTTCAATATGCAAATTAAGCCTTGCTATTCAGATGCATAAAGCTGTTTCAAGACCCTTACAATTAACAGATGGTGCTGTACAAGCTCCACAGCCAAATCTGACTAGCAGGTTGAAAGAATTCGCAGGACAGGGGAGCACACAAACATTTCACAATAAACAAATACATTATACACACCCTGCACCTATAATGGGCAAAGGGTGACTAAACATAAGAATAATCTGGGGACCTACATAAAGTGTCCGTCTTCCCTAGTGATGGAGACTAACTTCACAATTCCAAAATTAGTTAAGAAAAGAAAGAAAAGATAGCCAAATTAAAGAAGTATAAGTATCCTAAAGCTCTTATAACGTTTATAAAACCGATCCTTCCTTTTTTACAGACATTGGTTAAAAATAATACTCCTAAACAACTATAAAATTGGTAAGCGTCGCTGTGTAAACGTCACCGAACCTCCTGTACACAAAGTGGTTGGAGAAAGTCAAGCACCCAGCTGCCTTCCACAGATGACTCCGGAACACCGGAGTTTGCAGTGGAGGAATAATGGCTAAACAGTACAAATCTCTAGACGGTTTATTAACTAACCAGTGACATACAGTATAATGAAAAACAAATTGTGAAATTAAGGCTAAATTAGCCAACTACTGACTAAAGTTGAGTTGTAGATTATTTTTTCCCCATATCACCTATTGTGTCATAAACCTCAAGTTACTATTCAGTGGACAAATCCACAAATATTTGGAATACTCCAAACACCATAACCACTATATCACAATGTAGTAGTTATGGTGCTAGAAGTGTCTTGGCACACCCAACCTAAATAGTCAAACCTTCACTGTTAATGGTTTGAGAACTTACTTGGAATCAACCAGGCACCAGCACTTGCCCTACTGAATGCCAGAAGCTAAGCATGCTAGACCAGCTCATTGGCTTTAAACTAGTAGTGAGAGTAACTGGTGCAGGTGTTTTCTCACATGGAAACAGGGGAAATGCTGTACACTGATCATAAAATGACTGCAACAAGATGCTTAGTGATCTTACAAACTCATAAACACGGATAACGTGTGATATGCAACAGATTTAAAAAGAAATAAAAATTAATTTCTGATAGAAACCCAGAAATCATAGATCATAACCTAGAAACTGAAAAGAGAAATCAAAACAAACAAAAAATGAATATGAGAGCATAATTAGTATTTTTGTAATCCTGATTCTAATGAGAGAAGCTGCATGTCAGAATTTATTAGGACAATTTCTTATATTTGAACCTTTTATAAGACTGTGTTAGAGTTTGTTAGCTTCTAACTTCAGATAATGCATTGTTCACAGTTAGAGAATTGTACATCTGATATTGTGCAACACTAGACATATTTCGTAATGCATGTAATAATCCCAAGTACTAAAGTACACCTGCGGCTGCATGTGCCAGTGGGAGGATTCTATCTACTGTGAGTGTGATGTCACTGGAGAAGGAAACTGAAAGGGGAATTTCCGAAGAAGTGTTCTGCTTGTGGAATGAGGGGGAGGAGGATACAATATAAACAGAGTTGGATCATGATGTGGAGCAGCATCTGCATTGAATGTTCAGAATAATGAACAACAGCCAAACTCTCACAACTGTTACTCTCTGCAGCAACAGAAGCAACTATGAGGCAAGTTCCCTGTTCCTTCAGCATATCTGGGATTTCATCCTGTCCCATCAAGACATCATCAGGTCTCCCTTTTATCCAGTCCTGTACTCCTTCACAGTCTACCTGGCTTTCTGCATTCCTTACCTGATATTGGATGCGGTGGCTCCTGTCATCCTTGCTCTGAAGAGGTGCCAGGTGCAGCCACGTGGTGCCAGACCCACGCTTGCCATGGTGATGCACTGCTTGGCACACACAGTGTACAGCCACTTGGTGTTCATCTTCCCAGTCACCGTTGCCTATTGGTACTGGAGACCAGTGCACCTGCCACGTGTGGCACCAGAACTCCACCGCCTGATCCTAGATGTGGTGGCATGTCTTCTCCTGTTTGACTTCCAGTATTTCGTGTGGCATGTGCTGCACCACAAGATCCCCTGGCTGTACAAGACATTCCACAAGATGCATCACAAGTACACCTCCACCTTTGCCCTTGCCACCCAGTACTCCAGTGCCTGGGAGATGATGTCCCTTGGTTTCTTTGCTGGGGTGAGTCCTATTGTGCTGGGGTGTCACCCCATGACAGAGATGGCATTCTTCGTGGTCAACATCTACCTGTCTGTGGAAGATCATTGTGGGTATGACTTCCCTTGGTCAACACACAGACTCATCCCATTTGGTCTGTGTGGTGGACCTGGACATCATGATCTGCATCATGAAAAATTTGTCTCTAACTATGCTCCTTATTTTACACACTGGGACAAGCTATTTAATACACTTGCACAGAAGTCTGCGACAAAGGGAAAGAGCAAAGACACATGATCACGCTTGTAAGATATGTTCCATGCTGGAAGAATATTCTGCCCTGAAGAGACAAGAAGATGTCCATTCCTGAATTAGTGGATTGAGGTTGAGGACCGTCTTCTGGGAATACAAGTCTTTAAGTAAATTAAGTATATCTTGTACAGTACACTCTTGCAACTCACGTGCTGAGTTCTAAGCCCTGACAGTATTTATCATCAGTAGATACTTTGTATCTTCAATCAACATTAGCACTTCCGTTAGTAGAATGCTCAGAGTTCTATGGTCAATGATGGGTCCAGCTGTGAGCATCCTTCAGCTTATCTCCAGTTGTTCAAGTTGTTTACTGCAGTCTTTCTAATGAGAGTTTAAGGCACTTCGTTGATAATATTTATTAAAACTGGAAAGGAAATGTTACAAAGACTATATGTATATGTAGATGTAGATATGTGTTTGATAGAAAACTGAAAAAATATAAAATGTATTTATTTTAAATGTTTAATTTGAAATGATCGATGGCAAGGTGCATTGCTTGTCAAAATAATATTTTTATATTAAACAGTATTTATTATGGCATAATTGCCTTATGTGTGTTTTGCAAGGAGAATAATAAAATTCTGGAGGGAGGAGATATGGAGGTAGAATAGATGGACAGAAGAGGGGAAGAGAGAGACAGACAAGTAAGAAGAAATGTAAAAGAGGTGATTGAGAGAGAGAGAGAGAGAGAGAGAGAGAGAGAACGTGAGAAAGAATAGGGTAAGTGTAAGCAACCTGGCTCGGAGTTGTGGTACCACAACAGCTGCAGGCTATTCATGAGCAATACATTTCATATGCAAGATAACTTCCAGAAACCATCTAGAACAGAGGTGCCCAAAAGGTAGATCCCCCAGATGTTGTAGAACTCCAACTCCAGTGATGCTTTACATTCTTTTAGAACGCTTTTAGAATGACAAAGCATCAAGGAAGCCGTAGTTTCAAAACATCTGGTGATATATCTATTGGGTACCCCTGTTCTAGATGGTTTCTGGAAGTTATCATGCAAATGAAATGTATTACTCAGGAATAGCCATCAAGAAACATTACAGCTGTTGTGGTACCACAACTCCGAGCCAGTTTCAGCTACAGCTGAAAAACATCCTGCAAACTGCACTTCCACCACTGTAAAGCCACCAGTTGACAAACTCTACCTGTTTCATGAGAAAACAGAGGTCAATATAATGTATTCTTTAAATGTGACAAAAAGAAAATGTATGTATATGAAGGTGGATATAAAGCAAAAGAAAGTGAATAAAGAAAAAAAGGTTTTAAGTATGTTGTTAATTTCATTTTTTTTTTTTTCTCTTTTCAAGACCAGCAGAATGTTATAATGTGACATTATATGGATACAAATAAGGATTTCATATTGCACTTTACTTGCAATTTTCTTGATGAAGCCAGTATTGCCTTTGTTATGATGTATTATCCTGATGAATATTGGATTATGTAATTGTAGATCTGTGTGCAATACGTATTTATCTAATTCAGATGAAATGAATGGGAAATGAAGTCTAATTTATTGCCGCAAAGCAACTGACTCTAAAATAAACTCTATATATATTTTTCAACAAACTGCATCTGTGTTGTGTTCACTTTTTACAGTCGATTGCACTGCAAATATTTTCATACATCCTCGTAGAATTAATACTCACTGTTACTCCTCACACATGTGTTTAACCCTTTCACCATCATTTTTAGAAAATACATTAATTGTAATATATTTTTGAAACATAGATATATAGAATGTATATAACAGGGTTATTTACTAAAGGGTGATTCAATGGGAAGTCAAAGTCAATTCAAAATGAATTGACCTTTTAAATTTTAAATTCTCATTGAATTCACATTTATTCCTAGCAAGTCTCACTTTACTGAATAACCCTAATAGAATTTAAGGGGGGGGAATGTTCAGTGATAACTATTACGTTAAAACTTTGTGCACTCATTTACTCATTTAACGCTCTAGCAAAACATTCAGGAAAATTAATTTGTAAGCACAAAAAATATCTATTGTATTAAAGGACCACTATAGGCACCCAGACCACTTCAGCTTAATTAAGTGGTCTGGGTGCCAGGTCCAGCTAGGGTTAACCCTTCTTTTTTTTTTTTTTAGCAGTTTCAAATAAACTGCTATGTTTATAAATGGGTTAATCCAGCCTCCAGTGGCTGTCTCTTGAAAATCACAGTGAGAAGATGCCAGAGTCCATAGGAAAGCATTGTGAATGCTTTCCTATGGACGCGCTGAATGCGTGCGCGGCTCCTGCCGCACATGCGCATTCAGCCAAAGAGGAGAAGAGGGAGGGGAGGAGAGGAGAGCTCCCCGCCCGGCGCTGGAGAAAGAGGTAAGTTTAACCCCTTCCTCTCCCCAGAGCCCGGCGGGAGGGGATCCCTGAGGGTGGGGGCACCCTCAGGGCACTATAGTGCCAGGAAAACAAGTGTGTTTTCCTGGCACTATAGTGGTCTTTTAATTAAATGGTTATGGTTTAAAGAATGTAAAACCAAATAATGTAGGTGCGCAGACAATTGTAAAATCAATTAAAATATAAACAAAATACTCCAATAGACCCAAAGATATCTAGATCTAAATGTGGGATACCAATATTGTTTTAAAACCATATATGTGCCAAAAGAGCACAAAAGGTGACAGCACAGTAGAAAGATACTTGCATTTCCTCGGATAGCTGTATCACAGATACCTAAAAATACGTAAGCAGAAAAAAGGAACCTAGTGCAATACAGTATGTATATAATAAATGTGCACACTCTGTAAGAGATAAACTCACAATTGTGGAGTGGTTGTAGTACCACTCCAAACTATCAAGCACAGGTCCTATTGTGGGTTACATGGAATCATCACCAACTGGAACGTAAACTTAAAAACACTTTATTGCCAAGTATTAGAATTAAAAAATCAGACAATCATGGAAATCTCGAAGAGAGGAAGCGCTTGTAGTGAATCCCTTGTAACCCAACCCGTTTACCTACGCTAATTCCTTTCCTTCAGCCATTCAGGAAGCCTTACAACAAGCAGACATCCATTTCCCCTCCCTCCCCCCCACCCAGCAACTGGACGACACACAGCTTGGAGGGATACAACACTGACAATCCTTTATTGGTACAGCTTCCTTCAGCACTCCCCTCCTGCCAGACACTCCTGTGTAGCGTGGCCAAACATGCAAAAGGGGAGAGGAACTTGTTTCTCTTTACCTGTTCTGGCAGGAAACGCTTGTAGCAGACCACCTGGTAAGCCTGACAATCCTTTATTGGTACAGCTTCTTTTTATGCACAGACCCCCAGGGAGGGTCTCAGCTCTTTCAGTACACTTTCCTTTGTCCCAGGCAGGAGACGGGAATGGTTTACAGATAACCATCTCCAGTTTTGGGAGATACCAACAGGACAACCATTACATACATTAAAACATATTACAAAAAGGGGGGTAAATGTAGGTGCTCCGTGCCCTAGGAAGGGAAGGGGTCACACATGTAAAACATATACCACTGGATAGTCCTGGGTCCCAACGAGGATCCCTACAAATGGCGGGGCTAACTGATGTACAGAGCCCGAGAAAACATTGTAGACAGTCTGAGCTCGAGGCTCTGTACATCCCTGAAATTAGTTCCAGGGGGTTGCTTGGTTTAGGCCGGTCAATTCAAACTTTGCACCTAAACCAAACAACAACCAAACCGGTGAAAGGCGCAAAATAAGTTTGCGCCAATCAGCGCTCAGGGAGGAGAGGGGGTTTTGCCGCCCAGTCAGGAGAAAGGGTGCGAAACTCGTTTGCACCAATCGGCGGTCGGGGAGGAGTGGAGTTTCGGCACCCAACCAGGAGAAAAGATGCAAAACTCCATTTGAATGGGCGCTTCTTCTCCGATTGGTCGCCTGCACCCCGCAGCAACCAATCAGCACTCACTCGTGCTGACCCATCAGGAGAATGGTGCAAACCCAGTTTGAATGGGAGCTCCTTCTCCTATTGGTCGGCACGGACTTCCAGGCAGCCAGCAGGACCTTGTGGTTGTGAAGCCAACTCACAGCTTCAGGTATCCCGCTGGGGCTCGCGCCTCTCTCCGGTCAGAGGCTGGGGCCAATGAGACACGTGATGGAGGGCTGGGGCCAATGAGACCCATGATGGAGGGCTGGGGCCAATGAGACACATGATGGGGACTGGGAGTAATGAAACACATGATCAGGGCTGGGGGCAGTGAGACACACGATGGGGGCTAGCGGCAGTGAGACACATGAGGGGGCAGTGAGACACATGATAATATACAAATTTACTTCAATATGCAATTTAACAAGCCTTGCTAGTCAGATTCAGTGCATAAAGCTGTTTCAAGACCCTTACAATCAACAGATGGCGCTGCAGAGGCTCCAAAGTCAAATCCAAATACTCTAGTTGGTTTAACGAATCTGCAGGACAGGGGAGCACACAAACATTTTACAATAAACAAATACATTATACACACCCTGCACCTTTAATGGGCAAAGGGTGACTAAACATAAGATTAAGCTGGGGACCTACATAAAGCGTCCGTCTTCCCTAGTGATGGAGAGACTACGTCACAATTCCAAAATTAGAAGAAAAGAAAAGATTGCCAAATTAAAGAAATATAAATATCCTAAAGCTCTTATAACGTTTATAAAACCGATCCTTCCTTTTTTACAGACATTGGTTAAAAATAATACTCATAAACAACTATAAAATTGGTAAGCGTCGCTGTGTAAACGTCACCGAACCTCCTGTACACAAAGTGGTTGGAGAAAGTCAAGCACCCAGCTGCCTTCCACAGACGACTCTGGAAACACCAGAGTTTGCAGTGGAGGAATAATGGCTAAACAGTACAAATCTCTAGACGGTTTATTAACTAACCAGTGACATACAGTATAATGAAAAACAAATTGTGAAATTAAGGCTACATTAGCCAACTACTGACTAAAGTTGAGTTGTAGATTATTTTTCCCCATATCACCTATTGTGTTATAAACCTCAAGTTACTATTCAGTGGACAAATCCACAAATATTTGGAATACTCCAAACACCATAACCACTATATCACAATGTAGTAGTTATGGTGCTAGAAGTGTCTTGGCACACCCAACCTAAATAGTCAAACCTTAACTGTTAATGGTTTGAGAACTTACTTGGAATCAACCAGGCACCAGCACTTGCCCTACTGAATGCCAGACGCTAAGCATGCTAGACCAGCTCATTGGCTTTAAACTAGTAGTGAGAGTAACTGGTGCAGGTGTTTTCTCACCTGGAAACAGGGGAAATGCTGTACACTGATCATAAAATGACTGCAACTAGATGCTTAGCGATCTTACAAACTCATAAACACGGATAACGTGTGATATGCAAAAGAGTTAAAAAGAAATAAAAAATAATTTCTAATAGAAACCCAGAAATCATAGATCATAACCTAAAAACTGAAAAGAGAAATCAAAACAAACAAAAAATGAATGAGAGCATAATAGTATTTTTGTAATCCTGATTCGAATGAGAGAAGTTGCATGTCAGAATTTATTAGGACAATTTCTTATATTTGAACCTTTATAAGACTGTGTTAGAGTTTGTTAGCTTCTAACTTCAGATAATGCATTGTTCACAGTTAGAGAATTGTACATCTGATATTGTGCAACACTAGACATATTTCGTAATGCATGTAATAATCCCAAGTACTAAAGTACACCTGCGGCTGCATGTGCCAGTGGGAGGATTCTATCTACTGTGAGTGTGATGTCACTGGAGAAGGAAACTGAAAGGGGAATTTCCGAAGAAGTGTTCTGCTTGTGGAATGAGGGGGAGGAGGATACAATATAAACAGAGTTGGATCATGATGTGGAGCAGCATCTGCATTGAATGTTCAGAACAATGAACAACAGCCAAACTCTCACAACTGTTACTCTCTGCAGCAACAGAAGCAACTATGAGGCAAGTTCCCTATTCCTTCAGCATATCTGGGATTTCATCCTGTCCCATCAAGACATCATCAGGTCTCCCTTCTATCCAGTCCTGTACTCCTTCACAGTCTACCTGGCTTTCTGTATTCCTTACCTGATATTGGATGCGGTGGCTCCTGTCATCCCTGCTCTGAAGAGGTGCCAGGTGCAGCCACGTGGTGCTAGACCCACGCTTGCCATGGTGATGCACTGCTTGGCACACACAGTGTACAGCCACTTGGTGTTCATCTTCCCAGTCACCGTTGCCTATTGGTACTGGAGACCAGTGCACCTGCCACGTGTGGCACCAGAACTCCACCGCCTGGTCCTAGATGTGGTGGCATGTCTTCTCCTGTTTGACTTCCAGTATTTCGTGTGGCATGTGCTGCACCACAAGATCCCCTGGCTGTACAAGACATTCCACAAAATGCATCACAAGTACACCTCCACCTTTGCCCTGGCCACCCAGTACTCCAGTGCCTGGGAGATGATGTCCCTTGGTTTCTTTGCTGGGGTGAGTCCTATTGTGCTGGGGTGTCACCCCATGACAGAGATGGCATTCTTCGCGGTCAACATCTACCTGTCTGTGGAAGATCATTGTGGGTATGACTTCCCTTGGTCAACACACAGACTCATCCCATTTGGTCTGTGTGGTGGACCTGGACATCATGATCTGCATCATGAAAAATTTGTCTCTAACTATGCTCCTTATTTTACACACTGGGACAAGCTATTTAATACACTTGCACAGAAGTCTGTGACAAAGGGAAAGAGCAAAGAGACATGATCACGCTTACAAGATATGTTCCATGCTGGAAAAATATTCTGCACTGAAGAGACTAGAAGTTGTCCATTTCTGAATTAGTGGACTGAGGTTGAGGACCATCTTCTGGGAATACAAGATAAGACATTAAAAAAATGAGTATATCTTGTACAGTACACTCTTGAACCTCACGTACTGATTTCTAAGCCCTGACAGTATTTATCATCAGTATCTTCAATCAACATTAGCACTTCCGTTAGTAGAATGCTCAGAGTTCTATGGTCAATGATGGGTCCAGCTGTGAGCATCCTTCAGCCTATCTCCAGTTGTTCAAGTTGTTTACTGCAGTCTTTCTAATGAGAGTTTAAGGCACTTCGTTAATTATATTTATAAAAACTGGAAAGGAAATGTTACAAAGACTATTTGTATAGTAGATATGTGTTTGATAGAAAACTGAAAAAATATAAAATGTATTTATTTTAAATGTTTAATTTTAAATGATCGATGGCATGGTGCATTGCTTGTCAAAATAATATATTTTTAGATTAAACAGTATTTATTATGGCATAATTGCCTTTATGTATGTTTTGTAAGGAGAATAATAAAATACTGGAGGGAGGAGATATGGAGATAGAATAGATGAACAGAAGAGGGGAATAAAAAGAGGGAGAGAGACAAGTAAGAAGAGATGTAAAATAGGTGATTGAGAGAGATATAGAACGTGAGAATACGGTAAGTGTAAGCAACCTGGCTCGGAGTTGTGGTACCACAACAGCTGCAGGCTATTCCTGAGCAATACATTTCATATGCAAGATAACATCCAGAAACCATCTAGAACAGAGGTGCCCAAAAGATAGATCCCCAGATGTTGTAGAACTCCAACTACAGTGATGCTTTACATTCTTTTAGAACGCTTTTAGAATGACAAAGCATCAAGGAAGCTGATATATCTATTGGGCACCCCTGTTCTAGATGGTTTCTGGAAGTTATCATGCATATGAAATGTATTACTCAGGAATAGCCATCAAGAAACATTGCAGCTGTTGTGGTACCACAACTCCGAGCCAGTTTCAGCTACAGCTGAATAACATCCTGCAAACTGCACTTCCACCACTGTAAAGCCACCAGTTGACAAACTCTACCTGTTTCATGAGAAAACAGAGGTCAATATAATGTATTCTTTAAAAAGTGACAAAAAGAAAATGTGTGTGTGTGTATATGAAGGTGGATATAAAGCAAAAGAAAGTGAATAAAGAAAAAAAGGTTTTAAGTATGTTGTTAATTTCATTTTTTTCTCTTTTCAAGACCAGCAGAATGTTATAATGTGACATTATATGGATACAAATAATGATTTCATATTGCACTCTACTTGCAATTTTATTGATAGAGCCAGTAGTGTCTTTGTTATGATATATTATCCTGTTGAATATTAGATTATGTAATTGTAAATCTGTGTGCAATGCGTATTTATCTAATTCAGATGAAATGAATGGGAAATGAAGTCTAATTTATTGCCGCAAAGCAACTGACTAAAATAAACTCTATATATTTTTCAAAAAACTGCATCTGTGTTGTGTTCACTTTTTACAGTCGATTGCACTGCAAATATTTTCATACATCCTCGTAGAATTAATACACACTGTTACTCCTCACACACGTGTTTAACCATGTCACCATCATTTTTAGAAAATACATTAATTGTAATATATTTTTGAAACATAGATATATATAGAACAGGTATAGGCAACCTTCGGCACTCCAGATGTTTTGGAATAAACCTCCCATGATGCTTTGCCAGCATTATGGGTGCAAGAGCTTTGTGGGGGATGTAGACCACAACATCTGGAGTGCCGAAGGTTGCCTATCCCTGATATAGAATGTATAGAACAGGGTTATTTATTAAAGTGTGATTCGATGGAAATTCAAAGGGGGTGGAATGTTGTTCAGGGATAACTATTACCTTGAAACTTTGTGCACTCATTTACTGCTAGATATATAGGATATCATGCTTTAGCAAAAAATTCAGGAAAATTAATATGTAAGCATAACAAATATCAATTTTATTAATTAAATGGTTATGGTTTAAAGAATGCAACAAATACTTATACAATCTGGATACAGAACCACACACACACACAAAAACAATTGTAATTCTGAATTTGGGACCATTTCTGAAAATGTGTTCAAAAACACAAGTGTGTAGGATAGTTCTTCTGAACCAGAAATGCCCAAAAGGTAGATCCCCCAGATATTGTAGAACTACAACTCCCATGATGATTTGCATGCCTTTATAATGCTTTAGAATGGTAGAATGGCAAAGCATAATGAAAGCTGTAGTTTTAAAACATCTGGGGATCTACCCTAACTCTAAACTTTCTACCAACCAGAGTTTTATTCACTAAAAACAGGAATTATGGAGCACTGGCAAGAGAGTTGCAAATGATAAACCAAAGTATTCAGATTGGAATAATTCTCCAACTAAGCTATCTTTCCAGTTTAGCGCTGAAGTTTCATAGTAATTTCACCAAAATTCCCATTTTATTTAATAAATCCCTTAGTGCACTCATTTTATTGCTGCCTTTCACATTAACTCTTTGAATACTGAAGGCTATCAAATAAATTTATTGAAACTATGTAAGTACAATAATAGAAATAATTATGCCATAAAATACAATAACCACTGTGCTGAAGCAATTCTTCCCAATTTGCCTACCATTGCATTTTACACATGTGTTTGTAACTGAAGATGTATTCATACAAAAATGCAATGCATGATTAGATATTCTGTAGTAGTACTTGTTTACGGTGTACCTTAGCATGGCAAGGTGGCCGTAGATCATTAGCAGTGCTGTGCATCGGATGATATAATTTATGCATTATCTGTAATGGACATTGCAATACACAGCACTCTAATCTCAGGGGAACACAGATACATGCATGTCACAATCTGTCTGAGATTAGTGGAAGCTGTCACCAGCTGTCACTTTAAGGGTGCGCGTTACTTGGATCTGGTGGTGAAAGGGTTAAGCTTCACTATTTGTCTTCACTAAACCGATAATAGTGATTAAAAATCCCACTTGACATCACCCACTCTTAATTATAATGCTATAAATATTAATATTTTTTCATGCTTTCACTAACAAGAAAATGTATAAATGGGGTGCTTTGGTCCTCCATGCAGATTAGACTTAAACACTGTAGCGGAGTAGTAGGGGTTAATCCACGGTATCTCCGCTGGTAGTCAGAATAAGCAGGTAAAGCACCGGTAGCGTAGTAACATCCCTTCCTCCCAAGAACTAGACAACACATAGCTTGGAGGTCAACTGAGGTTTTAATCACTGGTCACAGCATTTATACAGTTCCATCTATATGGGGTTTCCAAATTGCCCTTGCAATGGTTTTACAATAGTGGACTACATGGGAAACTTAAGTTACAAGACGATTTCCCAGCATACATTGTTACACTGGAGAGATGATAAGAATATACTGATAATCACTCGATCTCTCCATACAGCCTAAATTACAGTATCACATTCAATTCTATAACTAAAAAAGTATTAGAGTAAATTAACCGAATTACCTTGCGTTGAATAGCTGGGATCTGAGCGCACCATCTGGGGAAATACCGCTCAGATCCCTGTACATTCAGACGAACGCCATTCGAATGACCTGATTTCAGGAACCACCATGCTAACCGTTAAATACATTAAGAGTGTTAATATGCCAAAATAATTATTGTCCTGAACAGTCTGGAAGTCCAGCGGAGTTCGGTAAGTCAAGTAGACGATTTTAGTTCCAGGCACTCGACGACCAAACACCGCTATGCTTTCGTGAACAAAAGATGGCCGCCGCCACGTGTTCGGTATATGAACGGCGGCCACACACGAAACCCATTAATCAACTGGCGATACATTGTTGCAGTAGTTAATGGGAGACACACGACCCCCGCTGTGTGGTCTCCCATTCAGTAGTTTGTTCGTTTCACGAACAGTGTTTGACAATCACTGTTCGTGGAACTCCAAACGTAACGTGGCAGCTTTCGTATGCTGCAAGCACACGAATACTCTATACCCATACATATAATATAAGGGGAAAGCAATGAAAAATGAAACATTATGCATACATACAGTTCTTAAGTGGCTAGTTTTGCCACAAACACCAAATCCACGAAATGTGATTTAACACAATATCTATGTGATTTCAAATTACTAATAAATTGGTCTAATCAGGTAACATGAGTCTTTATCAGAAAAAGGCAGAACTTAATAAAGGAATATTTATTATAAACAAAAACAAATAGTCATGGTGCCTACAAGAAACATATTTATACCAACAGATAAAAATTATAAGGAGAAATTAACAGAAGTCCTAATTGCTCAATTAGATTTTAAAAGTAATAGTCTCTTCTGACCGGGTGGGTGAGGGAGTGTGGGGGACTTACACAAAATTAGATCTTGGCCCCTATATATTATCCACTTACAGTTATCATCCGTCAATCGTCAAGGGATTTTGTGATTAAACACATTAGTCCCAGTTGGCTGTTTTTGGTTATGGGATGTTTGGTTTTGGTTATTATTAGCGTACAGCTCTCTAGTTGAGAATTATTTTGTTTTTGAATTTATTTCTTTTTTTAGTGGTCTTTGAGCCCATCTTCCATAATATATATATAGACATATATCATTGGATAAAAAGCAATACATACAGTAGGTGGATCACACTTCTGGCAATATCTAAATAAAGAATAAATAAACAGCAATATAGTGTAATATTGTCGGCAACTTAATGGCCAAGATGTAAGTAAAAGTGGTCAGGTACTCACAAACCGAGAGCCAAACAAAGACATGTGGCTCTCATGGGAACAGCATTGGGACTATTTGTAGGATGTCCCTCTCCTTCTGTGGATCTTCTGTTTACCCAAAGAAATGCAGCTGAAAACACTTACTAGAAAGTAAAGTGTTTATTTCCAATATTGGTGGTAAAAGATAAAAATAAGGAGAGGTTCTCCAATAAAACATATATACTTGAATAAAATAAAAGAGTCCAAGTAAAAGTCTCTACCAAAACGCATTTCGCCCCGTGCCAGGGGCTTCCTCAGTCGGTAATGCTTCCTTTCTGCTTTCCTGTTCTTTTATATGTGTTTCGCCGGTCTTTGGAACGCAAAAGTTCGCGGTGGAACGCACTTCCGGTTTCGTCGTTTCCGGATGTCGGCGTCATCTCCCTCCGCCTGATTCCCGGCATGCAGGGGTCTTGTTGGCATGGCAACGAGCCGGTTGGAACGCACACTGTATGACGTGTGCGTTCCAACTCGGAAACATCGGTAATACAGAATAAAGAGCAACATAAGTTCACAATAAGAGCATAATAGCTAATCTCAGGGGACATAAATTTACAATAGAAACATACTAGCTGATCAAAAGGATATTTTCTTACTCCCACCCGTTAATAAAGTGACAAGGTGTTAAATAGAGGTGTCTATGTATCATCCAACCTCCATTAGAATCAGTATCATAATGTTTTTTTTTATTTTTTATTTTTAAGGTGCTAGTATACATTAGCTTTTATTTTTATAAGTTTGCACCCAGTTACGCCAATCTGTTTATGGCGTATTGGGAGGAGCATTTTATCTTCTCATGCCATCCCTGGGTGTCAAACTTGGTGTCCTACCGCCGGTATATTGATGATATTTTTTTTATTTGGAATGGGACTATTCAGCTTTTAGATAGGTTTTTATTATTTTTAAACGGAAATGAATGGGGCATTATTTTAACAACTTCCCACAGCCCCACAGACATTCAATTTTTAGATCTACATATTTTCATTCAAGACCAACAAATACTCACCAAAAATTTCTTTAAAACAGTCGATGCTAACGGGTACATCGAAAGTAATAGTTGTCACCATAAACCTTGGTTACACAACGCCCCAAAGGGTCAATTCATGCGCATTAGATGAAACTGCACCAAAGATGACGACTATATCCAACAAGCCACACGAATTAAACAATATTTTTTAGAGAAAGGGTATAAAGAAAAAAATTTAGCTGAAACAATGGAAAACACAAAGATTTTACCACGGAAAGAACTACTCACATATAAATCAAAAAAGATACTTCCTCAAACAGATAATAGAGTACCACTCATTTGTAATTATAATGGAAATCACAATAATATTAGGAAAATTATAAAAAAGTATTGGCATATACTACAAAAGGACCCAATTTTAGAAAAAATCCTCCCCATACAACCACATATTATTTATAGAGGGGCTAAAAATCTCAAAAGAATTCTTGTAAAAAGCAGTGAAAATTCAACTAAAACAAATCATTTCTCAGGACAAAAAAATGGGTTTTATGGTTGCGGAAACTGTCAGGCGTGCAAATCCACAAATAGTAAGAAAAGGCATTTGAGCAATCTCCGAGAATTCATTAACAAAGATTTCGTAATCAGGGACAAATTAACCTGTTTCTCTAAAGGTGTAATTTATATCTTAAAATGTCCTTGCAACTTATTATATATCGGTAGAACTA